TCAATGACAACGAAGATTTGTCTCTGAAAATCATCCCACTGTTCTGTCTCCTCGAGCTTATATGTTATTTTTTTATCAACTTCATATGATTGTAATTCAAGCATACTCCATATATTATTTGATTTCCAAATCCATGTATTTTCATAATGAATAAAAGAGAAATGAAACTTTTTATGTTTTCAACCACCCTTATTTGTAACGAACGTTACTGCAGTTTCGTCCTCTACGGACATTTTCAAACTTATACAATAAACTAACAATGGTTCATTACATTAGCCCTTATATACTACCCCTGTAGGTACTAATAGAGGTACTTGGCTTGATTGAATACCTGAATTTACAGTTTACAATGCGGATGTACCAATTTAAAAACCGGTGAGTAAACTAAATCGATTTGATCATTTAACAGGTTGCACCCGCAATGTTTATGCTTGTGAATTTCCAAGAATTCCAAGTAATTGGGTTTGTAACCCTTTCTTGCATAGTGCAAAATTCCCGTATCGTTTACATTCGGAAAGTTGTGGTTGCATGTCAAGGAAGGGTTTGAAAACGTCGAATCATTTTTTCCAAGTCTGAAGGATCTTTCACGTTCAGCATACCGTTTTTGGAAATTTCGGCCACATTGTCCCACATAAACACTATTACACTCCGGACACTTAAGCTTATAAACTCCAGATTTCTCCAACTTGTCCACGATATCTTTGGCATTGCAAAGGAAATGAGATAACCTGGCATGTGGTCCACATTGTTTATTTCTGAAGAAACCCGCAATTATCTCTGTTCTTTTTCCAAATTATGTTAGAGTTACCCATTTCTTGATTTCTGGTTGTTTCACCTAAGGGTATATTATTCTGCAAGTGAATTTTCGTCTTTGTTTCATGACTAACTTCTGGATAGTATCTGCGTTGAAACCATTATTATGACCTAGCTGTGTAATTATATCAATTTCCCTAGCTAGATTGTTAGCGGACAACGACAGTGAGAATGCTCTGTGCAACATTGAATTGTAGGCTGCACTGTCTGGATGGCAAGAATTGCTGGAGATGGTGATGTCTGTATAGCTAGGTTTTCTGAAAACATTGAATTCAAATTTATTCTGATTGTGTCTATTGGTCAGGTCTGAGAATGTTGCTATTGAGATTATTCATGAATGTCATAAATTGGTTCAGCTGTCGTGTAGTACTTCTGAAACAGGTGAGAATATCGTCTACATATCTGTACCAAAAATGCATATGTTTTTTTACCCAGGTCGGAATTTACTATAGTGGTTTCCAAGTTGTTTATAAATATGTCTGCTGAAAGTGGACTTAGGGGTGAGCCCATTGGTAAACTTCAATCCTGTTTATGAAATTTGTTGTTGAACTGTAGGTAGCTTTGATTTAGGCACACATCGAAAGCTGTTGAAACTTCAAAGGAAGTGATTTGGTCTATTCGTTGTATGGTATGTTGGAGAACATACTCTTCACATCAAATGGAACTAAAATTGATTTATGTGGCGTGATTTGGTTCCTTATGTTTTCTACTAAATTCAGTGAATTTTTTATGCTGTGACGTGGAAAAAAATTGCTAATATTTTTGAACAACTTGTTAAGACGTATTCCTAGTTCTCTTACCGGACTGTTTATATACGAACTGGTCTTATGGGGTTATCCCCTTTATCTATGTGTTTTCATCAGGCCATATAGTTTAGGACAAGAGGGGTTTACGTTGGTGATTCTCCGTTTCTGTGAAAATGATTTTAGTATCTGAGAGGAAAATTTTTAGTTCATTTTGACTATTTTTCGATGGGTCTTTCTTGATGACAGAAAGGTTTTCATTTCGAATGACAGACTTAAACTATTTTTATTAATTATTGTTGGTGTATATTTCGGCCCCTTGGACATTGTTGAAATTTCCTCTTTGTTAAATTCTACTTTGGTCAAGTTAATGATACTTTCGCTGAACTGGATATCTGGTTCGACTGATTCGCTGCGAATAATCTCAATAGCAACATTCAGTCCACACTCGAAACAGAGATAGAGAAACAGATGAATTTCTTAGACCTGACCATTACACACAATCAGAATGAATTTGAGTTTTCAGAAAACCTAGCTATACAGACATCATCATCCCAAGCGATTCTTTCCATCCAGACAGTCATAAATTAGCAGCCTACAATTCAATGTTGCACAGAGTATTCTCACTGCCTTTGTCTGCTAAGCATCTAGCTAGGGAAATTGATATAATTACACAGATAGGTCATAATAATGGTTTCAACCCAGATACTATCCAGAAGTTAGTCACTTTTCTAGGGGCATTAACAACATTATGATCTATTTTAATTTTATATGTTTGATGCAAACATCATGTACCACTGAAGACATCTAGGTAATTCGATAAATTGATGGATGTATCAGTTACAACGTGGTAGGAGATCATAATGAAAAGAGAAATGAAAATTTCTGTGTTTTTTACCACTTATATAAAAGTGGAAAGAAATTTTCGTTTCTCTTTTCATCTAGGAATTTCTTTGTTATATCGTTATAATCTATAACATCAACTCTCAATATCAAGTATAATTTTTTTATAGAATCTAAATCTAACAATGAGGGACAATTATCATTCACAACAAAAAAGTATAAATACTTAATTGCTTAATTTGACGAAAGTTTTTTCAAAATTTTCAAAAGAAATTCTATTTTTTATAAGGGTGTCCATGGAAATTACATTGACCATTGCACCTGTATCTAATTAAAATTTTAAAGGGCAATTGTTAGTATTCATCTCTATTGATCCACATCGTCCACCATCGCTGAAATTGATTGAGATTCCTGTTGTTTTGTATAGTAGGATGGTCCCACTTCTCATTTGACTTTTTTGTGTTGATCAATTGTCTTATTTGATCTTAAATACCTCGGTTTACCGACATATAAATTGGCTGTGGTATAACCTGTGATTTCTTCTCTGTGTTGCTGGGAATTTTCGATTGCTTTAGCTGTATTGACAGCTTTTTGAAACGTTTTGCAATCGTCTTCTAACAAACGTTGACCAGTTTTTTTTTTGGCTAGTCCACAAATGAAAATACTTTTCACTATTCCATACATTAGGTCACCCAACTCACATGAATGTGCTTTATTTTTCAAATATGTAATGAAGTTATCGATGGTTTCTTCTTCAAACTGCTTTCGTGTAAAACATTCGTGTGTCTCAAAATCAAGATTTTTGAAAGGAATAAAATGATCTTCGAATTTCTTTAATGAAACATTCAACTTTCCATCTACATTTGGACCAAATTTGAATGTTGTATAAATACGATAGGCCTCTTCTGCAATATAATGTAACAGTTGTGCACATTTTCTTAGAATATTCCATTGCTATTAAATAATTCTTGAATCTTTTTTTCCACAGAATCCAATTATCCTCCATATTTCCTTCGAATTTATCCAATTTAAGCGGCGTGAGAGACTAAAGAACTGTGAACTTTTTGGTTTGGAAACAGTTATATCGATGAAAGGGACTGAGTAAAATCTATAGTGTATTGATGGAAATAATACTTGAAAATCATAGTGACAGAAATCAAACATAAAATATTCATCAGGAATTAAAAACTTCTGATATTGAAACTGTAAACTGAAAACACTGAAATGATTAGAACAAAATTGAGGGTTGATTTGATAGAAAAAAATCTGTTGAAAACATTTTTTCTTCATCAGAACAAACATACTGTCTCTTAACGCCAACCAAATTAGCATTATCGGGAGATAATCGAGACTACTACATCTAACGACTATGGTTATGTTAAATACGTATCTGGACGAATCACTACCATACATAATAGGTCAATGAAATGATTTTCGATACCTAGTGTTACTTGGTTCCTAATTGGTTTCTGTTCTTTCTTGTTTTCTATTTGTGAATATGTAAGAGCGCAAAGGAATTGTTAGGTATGGGGCCTTATGTAGAACTCATTTCACATTTCATGATTCCCAAACAGTTTCAAGCAGTCCTCACTCAATTCAGTTCTCTGTGGCATGATGAGTAACACTGGACTTCTCTGGTCTATGAAAGCGATAATGTGAAGTATGTTCCTTGTAGCGAACTATTATAATTCGCGTAGTTTGATTGAGATTTATTTCATTGCAATCCTCACAGCTCAATAGATTAGAAATTGCTATTCTGAAATTATCGATTGATTATTTGAAAGAAACAATTTTGTATACTTAATTCAATAAATACCTTGTTGAATGAAGTATAATTGTTTCCAGAAAAAAATCATTTGTAGACAGAATTTGTATAAGCCTGATATGAATCTGAATACAAGAATGCATAGGTTAAGTTGTAAAACAGCCTCGGCTGAACTCCGCCCTTTCATTGATTTTTGTATCTACTTCTTCTTTATAAACAAAGTATGTCAATGAATATTTTTTTTAAATTTTCTTTTTCATCGTAGTGTGCGCTGGTCAGGCCTTATCCCCCGAAGCCCCGATACATTCGGGAGGGCGCGCCAGCATTATCAACCAATGACCACTCCCCACACAGTGGGGTAAGTGATCATTGGGTCCGAGAATCATGTGCCCTGAGCAAGCGCAGTGAGCCAAGAATGACAGTCTTCTGCATCTGTGCGGCTAAGATTTCTGCCTTAGTGCGGCAAGACGGTATAATTTTAAGATTTGAGAGTAGAGAGGACATCATTCCACCAAGGACTCCAATGATCAGAACAACCATCTTGACAGAGTGATCTGGATAGAGCCTGCGGAGTTCGAAGAGAAAATCTCGATATTTTATCCGTTTTTCCTCCTCTTTTCTGACGATATTCGTCTCACCAGGAGCTTTGGTTCATTTGGTATGTAGATTTGCATTCATTAGTTTGTTTTCTCTGTTGATTGTACCAATAAGAAATTATTTTTTTACAAAATGGATGTCCAAAGTTTCTGATATGATTCGCCATACGGATATGAGCATACATATGATTTGCTTTTCTTTCTGAAATATCGATATATAACCATCTTCTTTTGTTGTAGCTCTTCAAAATTCGCCAAGCCCCAGGATGATGACTCCACTTGGTTATGCACATAAAAGTAAATATTTGGATGATCCAGATTCTGACATGGAATATGACTATTATGATGATAACTATGACGTTGGTAGAGCAAGAACGAGACCAGTTCCAATTTGGCTGTGTGTACTTTTGGTTGTGGGATATATATTAGCAGGAGCATACCTCTTTAAGTCTTGGGAAAATTGGGAGTATCTGGATGCAGCCTATTTTTGCTTCATCACTCTCACCACTATTGGATTTGGAGATCTAGTACCAGCAAAAGGTGTTAGTCAGGACGGATACTACGCTACTATTAGTATAGCATTATGTTCTCTCTATTTATTATTTGGAATATCCCTGCTAGCTATGAGTTTCAATTTAGTTCAGGAAGAAGTAATATCAAATGTCAAGAGTGTTGCTAAAACTTTGGGAATCATCAAGAGTAATTCTGAAGACGAGTATGAAGATGATTAATTTGAGTGAATAGCGTGAGATAAAATTTTATAGCATTTACTTTGTTATCGATCATAGATTTTAAGTTATTCCATTTCAAAATTAATAATGATTAAATGATTATTTGAATAATCTATTTAATATGAATCTATTCAACATTATTTCGAAAACACCTCCTCCTCAACAGAATAAAAATGCGGTCTCTCGACACGCGTTTCGCTAATCACGTAATCATCATCAGGAGAGGACTCAAAGTTTCAGTTCAGACTTACCTTCGAGAAATGACGTAAACACATAAAGAATGATTGTAATGGAAGCCATCGAATACAATGTATGTCGATATGAAAGTTATGTAAATGAAATCCTTCCCTTTGCTTTTGTGCTCCATAAAATGTTGACGCTAGTTAGGCTACATAAGTATTCCATTTTTACGAGAGCAGGGAGTTGTCAGTAGCTTTGTGAGAGTGACATCTTGTACAAAGAATAAAGTCTGTAAAAAAATACTGTCAAAAAGTGATTCCCGTGGCTCGAACCTATAATTTGAAACTACTGAATACACTAGCAAAAACAAATATAAAATGAGTCATAGTAAATATTCAAAGTGTTCTCCATTGACCACTATACAATGATCAAAATTGCGTTCCAAACGTTTTGTAACACAGTCGGTGTTATTGAAAAGAGAATATACAGATTATTTTTCGAACCCTCTTTGATTTTATATTTCTCTTTCGAAATACAAAGTCACTTCATGATTATCAGAGTAGCAGAGTCTTTATTTTTCTGTTCATTTGTAGCCCTGCTCATTATATACCGTAAACAATTTATTCAGTAGTATAATAATTTTCGTTAGATAGATGAGTCAAGGCGTAATAATGACCAGATTCAACGCCAGAACCACAGTGAACAATGACTGCATGAAGATTATAATAGTGGTCTGCCAGATTGAAGTGTTCATCTATTTCGAACCTTCGTGAGAGTTTGGTACTTCCGTCAGAGATGGAATGTTCTGGAGGTGTATTGAATTTATTGGAGGCTCTGGAGACACTCTACATTTTGTTTTACGAAAGAGAGGACATTGACAGATCAAGATTTTCAGATAATGTGCTGCTGCAGCTGAAAAAGCAAATGCACCACTGGAATCAATGAAGTCGTCCCGAAGCGCCAATTGATTTCTATTGTTGTTTTATAATTTCATGATTTGTATTTTGGAAGTGTTATCATTATTGTCAATTCAGTAATCAAGTTGCCTTGAAACTTTGTTGAAATAATCTGTTGTTGTTGAAATATCTGAATATTTTTTCATGAATAACCACAAATATATGTATAAGAATTTTTCTGTGTTATATCCAATCCAAGCGAAACGTCATGTGTCTGATAGGCCAAAAGCGGGAAATTAGGTACATGAACAATTCTAGGCATGGAGAATTTGTCGATTATCGAGGCAATTCACGGCGCATCCAAAAACTACCTTCTACGATTCAATCATGCGTGCTATGATTTATTACTAAAAAGTGGGGAGACTGGAACTACTGCTTTCAGCTATACAGTAGTGAGGTTGTGACGTCAGGTGGCTCTAGTAGACCGCTATCTCTCGAGGCAGAGAGTGCACGCGTCTGCACACCAGGAACCTTCAATGACCACTGCCTGCTCTTATCGCCTTCTGTTGGCGCATTGAGATGAGAGTGGTGCGGTTAGTAGCTCTAATAGTTAACAGCTTATCTAGCTGTGTGTGCTTCTTTGGAACATTGGTAGCTCCGGAACAATGGGTGCGGCAGCACCGCTCCTTCCCATGGTATGCCTGCTGCGGCAGCCGGCTGGCTTTCCAGACGCGAGTCTCAGTGATTTTGACACTCCGGAACTGAAGGCGGAAAACTGGTCGTTATCTGTTGCCTGCTGATATGCATTATCTCTGCACTTTTTTTCGAGCATCGTCTTGGATCTGTGGCCGCTTTGGGGTCGACGGTCCTGCACGAAGCCTCAGCAGGGCTCGAAGATTCACCTAGGGTTTACATACCCTTCTGGGAATGGCGTCTCCCTGAAGATGGTGTCTAATAATTCTCTTCGTCTTCTGCTGATGATCCCGCGATGAGTTGATGACGTCTATTCTTCTGAGATTTGGCGTGTTTGAGTGCCTAAAATGCTTCAACACAATCGAACTAGTTTTCGGGCTACCCGCGACCGGTATTGTTACGCATTTTGAAAACTGGTTAGTCTCTTGGTTAGTCTCTTGTGACAGCGTTCCAGCTGAAAAACAGCAACGAATATTCGTACATTTCAGGGTTTTCCTATACTTTCCGATACTTATATTCGTATAAAATCTACATAACACACTTTGGAAATGTTATTTTTATTTATAGCTAGTGAAATACTCCATCGGTGCTTCTATGAAGAAAGCACGTTTTCCTTTTCTGCCATATTTCACGATTTTTAGGAAGACACTGTTCGCGTGTTTCCAATGAGGATGGACGTATTGCACGTTTGTAGCTCTTTCACGCCTAAGCGACTGAACCGATTAGATGAAACTTTACTTGAATACAGCTCATACATCAGGATATCATATAGGCTAAAATTTACAAAGGTTTTGTCTGATTTTGGTCACAATATAACGATAAGTATTGAGTAAGTAGGAAAAATTCTTGTTCCCTGAGAACTATCTTGGCGTGCGCTACCTATACTGTTGAAGATACATGCAGATAATGTACCGTAAGATTGTTTATCTTAAATAGTTCT